AATAAATTAAAATTCACCCTTAAAGTTTAACATAATATAAAGATATTTTTTTCCAATAGAGTGGTGTGTGATTTCTTTGCAGAGCCAAAAAGTCAACATCAGCATACTGGTTATATTAGGTCTAAATATAGTGCTTGAAAAACCACTACATTCAGTTGTATAAAGGCTGTGCATGTAATATTCAGCATGTGTGTTTGCATAAGGGATTGTAGTCTGATTCCCAACTCTGTTACTCAGTGGCCACGGCACTGGGTGATCTCCACTGATGAACAATTTGCTTGGTGAGGTGTGACCACAGGCATTGTGATGGGAGCCACACAGTGGACTACTGATGCAGTGAGCGAGAGAGATAGAGACAAATGGAGGGAGAGAGAGAGAGAGTGGGAGGGAGGGAGACTGGAACTCAATTCCACACAGACGAACCTACACTGGCTCAGAAAGACGGTCTCTCTCCAGCACACACACACACACACACATACACACACGCCGCTGGCTGTGGATTCTCCATCTTATTTCATACGTCTGTAGGTAAGCAGCTGATATGTTTTCATCTGCCTGTACACATAGCTGTGAGTCTCTCTCGCTCTCTCTCTGCATGTGTCTGTTAATCAGCTGCTTTGCATCTAGGAACAGGGATGTGTGGGTCTGACTCCAATATGCATGCTGTAACACGCTGACACACAAACATACTGTTTTCCTGTAACACATGTAAAAGGGTTTTGGATTAAGGAGATCATAGGGAACCATTTAGTGTTACATCAACAGGAAAACAAGAAATGTGTGTTGATAGGTGCATTTATGAGTGTGTGTGTGTATCTGTCAGTGTGTCATCTGGATTAACCTGATATATAAAGATGTTAACATCTGTCATTTTCATGAATAGCTGGCTCAGGTTATGCAATGATACCCATGTTTACCGATTCCATTTTAGAATAGGGATGTACAGCAATATATGCATGCGTGTGTGTGTGTGTGTGTGTGTGTGTTTTGGTGTTAGCCACCAAATGCTTGCAAGCATGGATTGCTTGTATATCTGTGTGTGTGTGTGTGTGTGTGTGTGTGTGTGTGTGTATGAGTGCCCATTTGCATGTGAGTGCAGCACACTCCTACAAGCGGAACAGTCCAAAAGGTGCTCAAATCCCGGGGATTAGCGAGACGTCTTTGGCTTCAGCTGTCACCATGGCAAAGGCAGCCGGTGGAACGCCTGCGTTTGAGAGTGCCCTTTATAGCCGTCAGGTTCACTGCATTCATCGGCTCTAGGGCTAACGCAAGCATTAGCCTGGCACAATTATGTGTATGTCATTCTCAAGCATGGGGAATATGTTTCATGAGTGGTTAAAGTTGGGATTTTGAAGAGTATAAGAGGCATGGAAGATGTTTGGAGAACCAAACTAATCTGAGAAAAAGGGGGAAAAAATGACATTTGGGGCAAATCAACAAGTTAAATGAAAGTCCAGAAGAGGTTAATTATGGTAGTGCTAATGTTCTGAGGGGAATTCTGCATGTAGAAATTGGATTTGTACGATGGCCAGAGGAAGCCCAACAGATTAAAATAGCAAAGCATTAATCTTGTTTGTAAATAGCATGACTCAGGATGTTGTTTGGTTGTAAAGCCTGCAGGACATGCGTAACCTGTTGGAGTCCTGCCTGTGATGCTGCTCATTTGGCTATTCTCGGACGTGTGAGCAGCTCTCATTATGGTCAATAATGTCCAGGGACTATTGACTGTAACCAGTTGCACCAATTCTATGTGGATCTGTCCCTCACAACTCACAAGTCAGTAATGGGATGTAGGAGAATCAAGTTGAAAAGGATGTGAAAATGTCAAATTATACAGTTAATTTAAAAAGGGATTGATAAAACATAAACAGTTAAAAATGAGATTTTCCACTTAAAGGTTTGACATTTTGGGACGTTCTTGGCTTAGAGTTGGATGAGACTCCAAGACAGATCATGGCTAGGTGTTTCCAATCTTTAGGCTAAGCCAAGCTAATGTCAGCTGGTTCTATAGCTGTTTATTTACTGAACAAATATGAACTATCTCCAGGCAACACAGTGAATGAATGTATTTCCAAAATAGTCGAGCCATTCCTTCAAAATGAGTGTGCACTGAAATGGACAACAGCATATGTTTGTTGTACACGTATGTGAGAAACGCAATATTTATGCAGGCACACGAAATACGATACTCTAGAATACCGATAACCTTACCGCTTCATTTTAAATTACAATATTGATATGGCATGCACTAATCAATCTTTATTGACATAAATATTGCGGTGCTGTCCATGTTATGATGAAATAAACCATAAAATGAACCCTGGAACGTGGAAGAAAATAAATAAGGTCTGAAAGAGGGGAACGTTTTTTTTTAACATTAATTACCTGAAATGTTTATTTTTTTCTGGTTGTTCTGTACATCCCTCATTCCACAAGAATTTTCCATGACCATAATGACAACTACACAGATTGATAGATGAATAGACAGACCTCTGTTTGCTATGTTAAACTCTGTTACACTTTATAAAGCCCTTCAGTGTGCTGCTTTATGCAGAATAAATCCCTGCTGGCTTAAAGCGGCCAGTCAGATTGAATCTGTGTA